GCCTGGAGGACCCCGAAGTCTGCCCCTTCGTAAATAAGAAATATATTTATATATTTATATATGCATCCTATCCGAATGAAGCGTTCAACATGTCGCGGGAGTGGGGCCACCATAATGTATAAATATCTAAATCTGCGGAGCAAACAGCGAGGATTTGGCGAACCCACTGCCTCTCCATTGACTCATTCTCCCTTTCCGTCGTATTTTATTTCTTTAGGAAATTTGAGGAACCGACCAGCAGTCCAGACGAGTATTCCTTCCTTTCGCTTTCCTGTTTGCGTGTGTGTCACAGGCACGGTTTGATTCAAGTGGCATTGGCGCCTCCACGCAATCACATCCTTCTGTTGCCGCATTTGCGGGGCAATTGGGTTTGGGTATCCAGAGCACACACACACACACAAACACACATCCGCAGCAAAACCATAACTTGCATCCCTCCCATCCGCAGCCAAAAAGGCTCCTCCATTGAGCCACACAGAGACAGGGTCAGGGGGGAATTAGTTTAAGTACTCTCTTTATTGGTGGCTGCCACGCGAAGCAACAGCAGTCGGGAAAAAAAAGCAGGGACCAAAATTGAACAAATAGGTATGACAAGGAAACACCTCATTTTTTCCTTTTTTACTTCGTCCGCCAACGGTGCACGTTGCCTGCGAAATTTGGTGCGCACGACGGCAGGGGGTGCGGCCCCCGTTCGGTGGGCAGAGCATTGAAGGCCGTGTCGCGCACTCGCGCCGCCTCAACTCCACACCAGATTCCAACGTGAGGACCTCAGCAGCACTAGACTCCGGAAATGAATTCACAGCAGCCTCTACTAGCATTGGGGTGGCCTTTATCCGACGTTGACGCATGGAATACGTTCAATGCGACCACAAGAAAAATAACTGAGGCGTTTGCCGACGCGTAGTTGAAGGCAATGCCACCGCAGAGCAACTCCTCCACTATAAGACGGATGGGACCCTGTCGAGTGGACATGGAACTCGTCAGGCTGGGGTACGTGGGCACATCAACAGCCCGGTAAAAGACTCCTCAAAGACAACATATTATACACGTGAGGAGAGAAGAACACGTGGCAGGGCCACGTTGTACGATAGGCCTATCCCTCGAAGCCGCTCTCGTGCCAAGTAATCAAAGGAAAGATTGCATTGACACCGCTCCATTGTTTTGCCGCAGTCCACAACGGCCCGCACGTCCCTCGTCACAAGCGAAGAGGGGGATCGCAACCAAATTGAAAACATGCACCGTGCCGCATCATACGACACATTCATATCATCGTCGATGTTGAGAACAGCTTCGGTGCGGAGGAGAGAGGCGACAAGCCAGTGATTCGCCACGGAATTGGGTGGTTGCCGCACCTCGATTTCAACGCAAGCAATTCGTCTGGCACCGTTTCCTTCACGCCATTCCACACGAGCAGCACCTCATGGACAAGACTCTCATCCTTCGGCCAATCATACAGAGTGGCCTTCAAAACATGCAACAAACAATTTCTTCGCCTCGTCATTGGATATGACACCACCACTACTGTTAACGAGTCCTCATGAATGTTGCCTTGAGCGGCAGCAGGGGCGATCACTTTGCTCACCGTCGGCTGCGACGGCAGAGCAGGCTCAGGGTCCGTTTGTAATGCCCACACAATGAAAGGAAAAGTAAGAAGCGCCAATACAAAAAGTGCAGATAGAACGGGACGCAATACGCCAACAAAGCCATGATGGGCACGTCGCCGCCTCATCCTCACACCCCGAGAAGAATAAAAAGGGAAGAGGAAGAAGAGACTCCGTCAAACCCTCCCCAATACTTCTCTAATGCCGCGTGGAACAAATAATAAAGACGGGAGAGTCAGGACACACATTTATATAAACGCACACATAAATATATGCATTGCATATATTATATATGCGGTATGTAAATGTATCCCTCTTTCCTCCTCCCTGTCCTCCTCCTATGCATTATTTGTTTGTATTTCCTTACCATCCCTCTCGACCACGTTTACTCCCTTTCCAGCCTGTGTACACATGTTCCATTCATCACTTCCCCCTCCACGTTACCTTCATTCCTCCCCTCTATTGTTGTGTGATCCCTTCCTTTCCTCCGTCCTGATGAGGAATAGATGGAGACCTCATCCACCGCACACACACACACACACAGGGAGTGGGAGGGAGAACCGCCGTGCAGTCCCTCCGTGGCCCCCATCTTCCCATCGCCGAGGTGAGCGGCGCCGCACACAGCACCGGCATCGCTGAGGGGAGCGGTGCCGCCGCAGCGCCCTAACAATGAATTTGTGCCTGTGCCTTGCAACCCGCACCCGCAGCAACAAAATACAAAAGTGAAGGGCATGCCAGCACACAGCCACAAGAGGAGTTCGACGGCTGGGCCACAGCCGGGGCGGTGGGTGGCGTCCCGAACTCACAAACGGAGCACCGCGCGCACCGTCCGCTCCCCTCCGAGTGCGCTCAGCAGGCCGGAGCCCAGTCGCCCTCGTGCCATCGCAGAGGGGACCACAAACAATCGTCGTCGCGGACCATCGGCGCCTCTAACAGGAAAGAAAGCAGAAGAAATGAGGGCATGTCAACAGCACAGCCAGCAGAGAAACACTCAACGGGATAAAGAGACGAAAAGTGACAGCAGATACGGTAACTACAAAACACGCTGCAGGGAATCACAAAAAAACAAAAAACAAAAAATGAAACACAAAAAAGTATGAGAGTCTTGCAAGATCCCCGGAAAAAAAATTAATTTGGCAAACACTTCATGTGCCAAGCAGCACAAGGCAATCGGGTGTCTGTGTATATAAATATTGCCCGCACAAAAAATAAAAATAAAAATTGGAGCAAAAAAAAGATTGCACTGTTCCACCAGCCCACACAACATCCCCAACATTTCATGCGGCATCCGACATGTTCTTCCAATCCTCCTTTCGTGCAGTCCGTGGGACTCCACAGCCGCAGGGCCGGCACCGCGTGTGGTCAAAAAAACAAACAAAAAGATGGAGAATAATCTTCCGGGCAGCTGGCCGGATCCTGAAATTATCTATGGAAACCAAACAAGTTAGGAAAAAAGGTTCTTTAGTTAATTGCTTCAATGTTTTATTTTCATTCAATATATAGAATTCGGTGGACCATTAGCATGGTTCTTTGTCCTCAGTTAGGATTTACGTATTATTACTTACGAAGTGGCAGACTTTGGGGTCCTCCAACCACAAGACCCCGCCGCTGCCCTTCGCAAGTTCCACCCCTTCGCCAAGTCCTGAAGTGTAAAAACACGACCGCGTGATATGCCGTCTGCGGGGTTTTCTGCAGACCGCACGTACGCAAAAGTTGCCTGTATGCCGCGAGACTCAACAAACTCACATATCCGTTGCAGCTCCCGCGTCAAGGCGTGCGATTTCGAGCTGCCTTTATTCGCCGCTCCTTGCAGCGAAGTGTTGTCCGCCCAAACGTCCACGGTGGATGGCAAGATGGCGGAAAAGGCCGATAAGGCTAAGCGGACCGCTCGTGCCTCGGCCTGCGTGATAAGAAAAGGTTTCTTCTCCCATTTCCCTCCGGCAATTTTAACGTCGCCGGAGTCTGGAATAAAAACGGCTCCCCATCCATGGAGCGATGCGTCCGTGATGATGGCAGCCGATGCTTTCTCGGTGGGCTTGTTGTTTCTCTTACGGTTGTATTCTCGATGATGTGTCGCAATCTCTCGCCCAAACCAACCGCTGCCGGTGGAGGGTTCGCAAGGGATGTCTCCTGCACAATCCCTTGGTGAAGTGCCGATAATCGTCGTCGCACTGCCTTGATGAAAAAGTGGTGGTCGCATAAACGCGTGCCCAAAATGGCAGCCGCGTACAAAAAGCGTGACGCCATAACCTCCATTTCCGCGATGGTCAAAGAATTAAGCGACGGCATGGCGCATACAGGCCGGACAAACTCGTCACTCAGAGATACCGCCCGGTGAGTGTGATCAAACTGCACCCCCAGGAAGGTGTACTGCGTAGCGCCCGATTCCCGTTCTTCCCCCAAGGATGCGTGACAACTGTCCGCATTACGAAGCACTTGGGATTCCCAGAATGTCGCACCACTTTTCGACCCTGCAATGCGTATATTATCGATCCATATGTCGACACGTACCGATGGAGGTGCGGCCCAGAGGCGGTGAACCACCGTCGTCACCACCGCAATTGCTGAAGTAATAATCTGGAGAATTTCTGGGCTGGCCTTGTATCCCATAGGGAGCCGTGTGAGCTCCACCAGCGTGCCGTCCTCCACGCGGCATCGAAAGAGATGCCGTGTCTCCCGCGGTAAAGAGACTTGAAAAAAGGATGCCTTTAAATCCAGGCAGGAAGCGACCTCAGCCATCACAGGTGGCAAATAATGGGAAATATGTAAAAGAGGAACATTAGCCTCGTAAGGGTCGTCTCGGTTCTTGTCGCGTGGCCACGCGATCCATCGTCGTCGTAAACCGGCGGTTTTCTCCTCCACAACCGAGAAAGGTATTATCCATCCGCCTGCTTTTGTAGACGAACAGTCCTCGATTATTCCTGCTTTTTGTAACAATCTCGCGTCAGCGGTTGGAATCCTCCGTGAGCCTTCGCGCGCTTTACCGGAGGAAGACGGAGGGAAAGGGGACCGCCCGACGAGTCCCCAAACTTGCATGAGCCTCTCCAAGGTGGCCGGGCTCAACCGACTTTTGATCCACTCAAGATTCAATACGGGCACGTTGACTTGCTGTAGCTGGATGGTTCGTTCATCTTGTGGAGTGGCCGGACGCGTCCTTGTCGCGCGTCTCGTTATTGTAGCGGCATGATTGTGATAAAAATCATGGAAAAAACGCTCCTCCGCTCTCAACCAGGGTTCTTGCCCTTCCGCATTGTCCCCCTTCACATCAATGCGACCAGCGGCGACACCTGGGTCAGCATTGTGATGTACCTCCACAAATATCGAACAGTATTCTGGGGAAGGTCGAACGGGTCGACGTGCTTCGCCAACTGCGAGATCACGTGTGGATTCAAATTGTACGCCTCCACGATTTGAGCAGCGTGCCTCAACGCACCGCGTTCTATGGAATGCGCCGTGGCTTTCCAAGGAGCCAAAGCTCGTTCGACTTGAGCAGTCGTCAGATTCGTGAGCTTTTCCTTCTCTTGAAGTGTCCTGCATAGCTTTATAATGTCGAACGCGTCCTGCCCTCGTATCTTTACAAACCGCGAGGCGCGGTGGGGATCCGCCCTCGCCGTCTTCGGCGCCAGGGACCAATCCAAAATTAAGGCCCCGTCCGCCTCCAGTGTGAAATTTTTGACTGTCAAGGCCGCAATCTCGGACCAACGACTCGCCGTTATCCACGCGAGTCGTAAGACAACACGTTCCTTCCAATCGGTCCGGCTGCGGATTACTTCATTCATCTCTTCCTCTTTCAAGGGGCGCGCCTGCTTCGTCTCCGATCGCTCCGCAATTTTTTGTAACCCCAGAATCATCATGTCCAGCGGGGTTCGATTCATTTCCAGCATGGACCGCAGCATCCTGGCGTACTGCAGTCGGGTCGATGGCGCGACTTCGATTGCCATCAAAAAGGCCCCGCAGCTCTCCTCGTTCATCGGCCGTTCGTGCGTGCGGCAAAAAGTCGTGAATTGCCCCGCTAGGGACATTCTCTGCTCCCACGTTGACGGCGCCCACATCTCTCGAGCGACCTCGTTTGCTCTCCTCATATAACTGGCCCAAAGCGGGGATGTCGGTAATTCGTCGTACCACAGTCGAGCGTCATTTACGGATAAGCTCCATCGCCCTTCTCGACGATTTCGTCGGGCAATTTGAAACATCGGGTGGAGCTTCGGCGGCGCGGTGCGCTGCCTGTGAGGATTGGTGGGAGGTGGTGGGGCTGCCGTCGCCAGCATTCATGAGCGGCATGCGGCAGCCCCTCAGCCGTTTTTTGATGGGCGCCTGTATTGTGAGTAATTCCCTCTGGGGCGCACATTGCATGTAGATGCCTCGTGTCCAAAGATATGACAACGTTGGCATCGCACAGTGCGTTGGGTTTCTCGCCGATCGAAGAAAAGCTGGGCAGCCCTGGAATAAGCGTCCGTCTGGTGAACAGCAGTGTATAGAGGGGCGCGCAGTTTGGAAAGCCGGATGCCGGGATCGGATGCAATCGTGAGCTGCCTCCGGAATGTATTCAGTGGGGACCTCCCCAAATTCATGATTCGATCGGTGGGATCCTGCAGGCCTTCCAGCGCGCTGATCCACTCGACCAAATTGTCAAAGGCAAGTTTAACCTGCTCGTTGTCCTGTTGCCAGCATTGGTATGCGCACCGGAGGTCGATAATGACTCCGGAGGCGCCCTCATTCCATATACGCGTGGGTCCCAAGTGGTGACGCCGAATGCGCAGAAACTGCTGTCCTCTTCCATGGGTAATTGGGCGTCCAGGGGAGAAGTGCGGGAAGGCAACGGCGTGGAGGGGTGGAAATGCGGTCTCGCAGCATTACCGTGAGGGGGCCTGTAAGCCGCCGAACTGCGTCGGGCAGCGCTGCTAGGCACGCCTCCAGCCATCAAGATATCCGTTCGATGCGGTAGTGTAGTTACGCCATCGTTGGCGACGTGTCGAGTAGCGGGGGACTCGTCCCGCCCCGCCGTCTCCGCATCCCGCGCGGTTTGTAGTGCGTTAAGGCGTGCCTCCCGTTCCTGGAATTGACCAGTGAGGACTCCCAAGTTGAATTCGCGCTCCCGTAATTGGGCGCGACCGGCCTCCAACTGCTG